TTTTACGACGTGAGGTTGCTAGCTTCATGCATAACCATTACTCTTTATCAGTCTTATTACTGACTTAGTGAGGTAAAAGAAAGCGTCGGCCGACGACCGAACTCCGGACCACATGCATGGTAGGCGAGCATTCTACCACTATGTTACCAAAACACCATATATATATCAATGAACACGTTTTAGCGATGGAAAGTTAAGACGTGGTACTAACCGTATCCATAAGGCTGAATGATTGTGAGGGACTTATCAGGATTCAGCATCTGCATGTGAGATAATTGTGACTTCGGAAAGTTGATTCTGCCAGGTGTCAAATATTTGAAGCTGAGTGTGCTTCTAATATTGGCTCCCTTTATGGAAGCACACTTGATTACAACTAAGCATCTAGAAGTTGAGTGGCAAATCGCTGCAATAAACGCTTCTTTTCATTTGAACGAATAATTACGTCTAAAATATAAAGAATTCTTCTTCTACACACACATACACTCATTTTATTATGATTACCGGTGATACATCTGAAAGTTACAGATGATGAATGACACTGATTTCACTCAAACTTAACCAATTCTAAAGTTAAACGTGAGAGGGGATAATTAGTATTCTTGATGGAGACAATCAGCTGGACATGAGTGGAGCAATGCTGTATGATGCAATCACATTAAGTTGACTGAAAGAGGAGCAGTGAGTTACACATAGTCCCTTCAGAGACATGCTGTAATTTCAGATTTTGACAGCAAAGTGCCTAATTTTATCAAACAACATGAAGAAATTGGTGTACTTGAGTTGCCTCGTCAGTCATTCTGAGAGAGGGAGATACCTGCCTATATTACAATTCAATACAATAAAAAAAGATTTACACAGTGAGATAACCTAATGAATAAATCTATTGACATCGACAGACAGTGTGTGATCCTTTCAACTTCTGATGTCAGTACTTTCACTCAGTGAGTGACAAATACATCCATCCACAATATGAATGATAAGAAAGCAAAGTGTATCTTCTGCATCCTGTGGTGAGCGGCTGTAAGAGACATAGCAGCAAGCTGCAAGACTGAACAACATCAAGTCAAACAACTGGATTACATTTATCTCCCAATGACAGTAACTGAACGAAGAATTCCGTGGTTGGATTAATCCAAAAACTCATTTTCTTCTATTGTGTATCACCTCGTTCAATACCATTTCACCTCTCAAAAACACCACCAACTCGCTCTATCCTCTTAAATACTGAACTGCTTTACAATAGTGCTCGAAACTTCAGCTTACCCATATAACTGTGCAGAACATAGCAATTCCGCCCAGAATGATAGTCATCTGTCAAGAGAATGATGAAAGAAATCGCTGATTTAATTTGAACTGCAAATCCATATGCTGTGATAATTATCCTACACGGCAAGTGATATGATTTAATTAAAAGTTGAGTTTGGTGTAGTGGCGATACTAACGATTGAAAGCATTTTTCGAATATACGGATCACTCGATCTCATTCGCTGTGTTATTTTCACAGCTGTAATTATTATTTGAAACCGATAACACTTTCTAAGAGAACGAAGCTTGAGGATAACTAAATGCTTGGAATATCAGTTAGTTGTAACGAGTGACTTACTCATAGCTGAGAATAAACGTGCGAAGCGTATCGCCTTTTTTAAGCACACTGCTGAAACGCACTTCAGCAGTTGTCAACTTCCTCTGGTGTGGACATAGCATGCCCCTACACATACTTTAGCTTTCATCGAAGTACAAATTACAACCCGAATAGTTCAGTAATAATGTACGCAATCAAGAAGCGTTCTGCTGTAGTCGAGTGAGACAGTCACCACAAATATGATTACTGCAATCTGAAACTTAGTTTATTCAAACATGAATGGAATTCTTGCAGTAATTTGACTGATTTGAATACTCATCTGTCAGGCTTCCTGAGAAAGTTTAATTAGGTGAAGCGAGTCCAAAGTGATTCAACGTATTCCGATGCAAGTTTGGTGATTATTGAGTGAGTGAATACTCCACGAAATAAACAATCGCCATTAAAGCTCAAAAGATACCTCAGCTAACAACAGTTACTTTTCAGTTGGAGTAACTTACATTTTATCTATTTACTTACATCATATTTTCGTAAATAGACCATCGGAATGAATGCTATGCAAAACATTATTTCCACGACGAATGTTGCAAATATGAGCTTCCGAAAGGCCCTCAGCATATCGAATCTTTTGAGAATACTGAAGCCTACAATCATCCCTGTAATAACCAAGGTCGCTGCCCATGTGACAATTGTCCACCAGAATGCTTCGTTAATCAGTGGTAGAACTGCGGCGAACCCCATCAGTGTTGTCTAAAGAGAGAAAGAGAGTAAACTTAAACGGCCGTAAATACGGTGGATTCTTGGAAATTGAATGTGGACTGTGAAGTGATATAATATAGTTGGGCACGGCCAACTGGAATAAACAAACCTTTGACTTCATGTCTCCGTCAAATAATACCAAGGCACATCCACCTCCAAATATCTTTCATCATAGGCTGCAGCACAGCGATAATGGGTCGTTCTCTAACCTGGTGATTGCACTGTATCCGAAATAATGCAGACACGAAATGCATGGGCGAGAAATGTGTACGTGACGCAGGTAAACCAATCGTCAGTTACCAAGTGTTTTGAGATGTCAGCGAGAAGAGAGATTTCATGTGATAAATAGTGGTTGTAATTCATTGAAACATCTCCCTCACACATTGATCTCACTTCATAGTATATTGTTATACATTTATTGAGTGACCATCCTGCTAGGAACTGATAACGTATATTTCCCCTTATCTCAAATCTCAGTGATGTGTGCCTGCTGAGGATTGGGCGTTCCACTGGAGATTTCATTCGCTTGATTGTTACTATCGTTTGGTGTTCCATTCATTTCTAAATAACATTTCCAGTTCGCTTCGATTTGTTTCATGTTAGAAATGAACTTTTCGAATATTAGTTCCTGTCTGGGCCCCAAAATCTTTAACAATCAGCCGACTTCTTTAGGGTGATATGTTTCATTATATGATTGAATGGACTTCGTTCATTCTTCAATGTGAAACATACCGCTTAATAGTTTCAACCTCATTTCGACTCAACCTTCACACTGAGGGGTGCCATGTAATAATCAGGCGGTGAATTTACAAAACAAGTTTATATGTAAACATCAAACATCATACAATAAAACAAGCAATAAAGGTTAATAAAGTAGGATTTAATGAATTCATCAAATTTCGGTAGAACTCGTCAGCTGAATACTCTACATACACGCATATATATATATACTTTTGAGTACTTTTGGATTACGGACATGATATCGACTCTGTCAAGTCATTCACTGTTATTGTCAGAAGACTAAGAAACAACAAGATGCTTGCAATTGCAGAGGCTTGTGCAGTTCGAGTTTATAAACCAGGTCTCTGTGTACAAAAGGAGATGGTCGTCACTCTGAATCTACCGTGGTAATACTTTTTACTTATTACTCTACCTCTTATTATTATTCTTGATTCACTTGAAACTATCCTTTATCAGTAGGATTATCTTAACTCACTTCAACTCTATCAATATTATTATTTTTATTATAACCACTACTATTAATATTACTCTGTTTGCAATTCTTGTTATTTTCTCGAATGACTAATTGTTTGTCTAAATGATGTAATTGAAGCGCAATGCAGTTTATCTTAATTTTGATCTCTCATATTCTCTCTCCATTTTATATATTTGAACATGACCTGGAAAACATTCACACCTGTCTTTTTGCACGACGAATTCAATCTTGTTTGTTTTCTTATCAGTCTTATATCTCCTAATGTTATTTCAAAAGTATATATGTCGGTGTATGTAGAGTATTTAGCTGACAAGTTCTACCGAAATTTGATGAATTCATTGAATCCTGCTTTATTGACCTGCTTTATTGCTTGTTTTAAATTCGTATCGGGAAATAAATGTTTTACATCATACAATAAGTTGACTTGAAAATACGAATGGCCATTCAAACTTCACTTACAGCAATAATTAAGATGATATAATTGAGTGGAAACACAAACTGCAGTTGAGGTATAAGGAGCATCTGCAGCTGGAGAAGCGTCCCTAAGAATCTGTATTGACACAAACGAAGGAGACGAAAGATACGAAAATTTAGTTTACATTAGTAAATAACAGAGTCGTGTCTCAGGAAATACACTAGTTCATCTGAGCAGTTATTATCGGTGCTATCCTCAACAAATTGAGATGTAACATCAGAGAAAACGTTAGTTACTTGCCTTTCATCTGGTTCACGTATTTCACATTATCAATAGGCGATAGAGTGAGAAGGGAAACCCACCATATACAGAGTCGAACAAACTGGTGGTAATCCTGCATGATTAATACTAGGTCTTTATAGACGTAGAGGACGTGTTGTATACTATCATATGAAACACCTACCATGCAGCACTTTGTGTAATTACTTTCTAGGGAAATAGTTCCAAATATCGCATAAATACACTTTTGAACGGCTTGACGGTAAATACTTCTTCTCAGAAAATATTGTTCTAGCTATGATAATGTGATTTATAAAAATACTTCACTTGTACCTGCTTGATGAGGTGAATCAAAATCACACATACTTTTGTCATTTAATGTGTCAATATGGTTATGGTTACTGCTCTCTGATAACTCACGCTGCTCTTGACTCTTTAATCTTAACAGATGTTTTACAGTGTGAGATGCTGATGGTTGACACTGAAATAGTGTCGACAAAAGTGTGTCGTTTACTATCAAATCACATTTTATTATGCTTAGAGCTGAGACCCGGAGAGGCGATGGTTGCTCCATTGATAATCAGTTGCTTAAATGTCGACTTCATCCACCACAAATTAATGGTTATCAATATTCTGTTCCCTATCTTAGTCATAACATTATTGTTGACAGTGCATCAACCTTATTGCGGTATTGACAATAAGTTGGATAATATATTCATCAGAAGGGGATAAAATGTAAATATCACACGTACCCACAAAGCCAGGAAAACCAAAAAGACGCCTTCAACCAATCCCTAAGTTTTTCACTTGAAAGCATTTCAGAAACAACGTTAGTCGAAAACGCATAACTTACACAAGTATCACAATGGCATATACTTCCCATACAATAAAAATCTGCATGACATATACGAGTGAAGTCTTTGAAAAATGGAAACAAGAAATGGTTCTCTTTCAAAATGCACAGATACCTTCAAAATAAATTCTTTTCTCCCTCTTTCAACAGAAAACTTATTGGAAACAGCCTTGATTATTTTGGTTATGAATAATAACACTGTGCAACATACCTTTTTATTATTTTGTGAATTCAGAGAATTTCCAACTGGGGGTAGTTTACCTGTAGAAGTGAATGCGAGACTTGTATGGTTTCAGATTTGCTCTGAAGCGACTCATAATAAATAAAAGAAGATAAAATGGGAGAAAACTTCACGCTTGCCTCGTTCAAGGAGAGTTGTACTAGTCATAGGTGTGCAGTAGCCTTCAGGGATAAATAGTAGGTAGTCTTCAGTCAGTTGAGTCTTCTAACAGTGGACTAGCTGATGAATTGTGACATCATGATAGGCGCTATGACGGGATAGTTGATTACAAGGAACAGCACTGCATTTATTTCATTTTTCATATCTGACTGTAGTATTCATTGCACTACTTATTTCGAAATATACGCTTATTTGCAGTATTACTTAACATATTGCTTCACCTGACGAGATAGTTTGAAGAATGCCTCCTGTGATGGGAACCTCTAAATGTCCACCTACCTTTCCGTGCCTACAAACACTGTCCCAAGTGCTGAATAGCAGAATATGTGCTAGTCTATGATACACAGTCTGTTCGAAGCGTGAAGATGTGAATAACACGTCTGTTTTAGAAACTCGTTTAGTTTTCTCAAGTTTTCTATCACTAATCCCCATTTGGCCATCGCACAATTAAACTCTGTTACACATATTATAACAACGAGAATTTTGTATTTCTAATGAACCATGATTATCCACCGTCTAACAGACCTCAAGAAACCGACACTGATTTCCATAGGCTGGCTATTCCTTAGTTAATGCATTCAAATTTTTTACTGGACTTGGTGCATTTCGACTCAGTATTTATCCCGTGGAGACCTTCTGCAACATCAATATAGTACTTCAATCATGATAGGGTAGATTGGTGTGTAAATTTCATGCAACTGTAGGCTGGATGATGTGCTCCTTTGATAGGAGACTGGTTCATTATGTGCACATTGTCAAACTGTCATGAAAGTTATGAAATCCTCGGTCAGTTCATTTCACAGACTGATATCAATCAGTACACCATTCACGAGCAGTGCGATAAGTCAATCTGTCTCGGAATATTTCCAAGAAGTTTCATTTTCTGAGTAGCACATGAAATCACATTGCTTCGAGACATAAAATCCAACCACCGTTATTCGCTAGTATTACGTTCTCTCTCTACTTCGCTAAGTACATGGGTAATGGTTTCGCAATGGAATTTCTGAATATGACACAGTTGACAATCCGTCACTAAATATCGTATGATCGGTTCATATAGTGGTTGATTCGACGTGGATTAGGCTAAGATGTCAGACAACAAGTCGGTGATTCATTCACCTGTCGTAGTAACTTTCACAAAACCTATATGCGAAATCCACTATATTACTGAATTCGTAGAGGATATACGAAGGGTACCAGTTATGTGTGAGTCACACATCGATGTTGAATGAGACCTAGACGTTGTTTATCAGAGACAAAACTATAAACATGCAATGAATTCACAAAGAGTATGCCATCTTAATGAATGGTCTGATGTAGCCATTCCAGAAAACAATAAATCTGGGAGCAGAATGTATTCTCAAGTTTATTATGTCATTACGGTTTAAAATAGAAAACTTACACCGTCTTGATAAACGCCTCATCATAAAAATTATTTGGATAGTAGAAATTAGAATGAAAGTGTGAAATTTGTTTTCATACAATTCAATGTGAATTAAAGGCGATCGGGGTGAATATATTTGAGCAGAGGCGTTGAATTCGATGGACTTTGTTATTGAATAGACAGTCACGAAAACAACATTTAATGGAGTCAATTGAATTCAAAAGATACTATTTACAAAACTATTGGAGGAGAAGTAACTTCTCATAACACTATTGGATAACACAAACCGTGTAAGTTAAATATCTCAATTCACTGGGACTGACAACAGCATTCTACGGAATATGGATAGATTCGTCACACATGGGCTAATGAAAAATAAAACAGGCAACTATTGAATCGCATCAAGTAGTGAGCAGTGTTATTTCATTCAATATGGAAATTCGTCATCTGGGAGAACTAGGGACTTCAAGTTGACAGAATTGTAGACGTTTCAACCCGAAAATTTTTTTCTGATAACTTGAATGAAAGCATTCAGTCGGCTATTAACTATTAATGGACTAGTGACAGTATAGTAATGTGAAAATGCTGTGATATTGACATTTATAATTTCATGATATATCACACGTCGTATTTCAATGTCTTTGAAGGTAACCAACCGATGATAGAAACAAGACACTTTAGGTTCCGTGACTTTAGGTTTCATCATTAAATAACTATTATTCAACTAAGGTTGTGAAAGTGTAGGCCATGTTTTGGGATTTTTTAGTGCTCCAATCTTATTTTACACTGTGTACATCTCCTATCTGATGCTTCACCTTTGTGGTAAATGCGCTATGTCACACTGATCTGAGTCATGAATATGCTCAATTTTGCCAAATGCCTGTTTGTGTGTACATGTGTTTGGAGGAAACAATCACAGCGATTAACAGACGATTCGTGTTCACAAATTCAGCTCAGAATATTCCCATATTACTAGCTAATATGTTTGAAATAGCAGTATGATTCTGAAGATTATTCACAATATCTACTAAGTTTGCGTTGTAATCAGAATTCTCAATACAAACTAACGCATTATTTCGACAACACAATAAGAAGACGTAGTTTATCTGAAACGTGAAATGTATTGGCGCAACACATTTCGGACATTCTGATCACACACGTACTTGTCATACACAGTTTTTATATAATGCAAGAAGGCATGAATAATAACAATACAGGTCAGATTGTATACAGGCCAAGGTCATAAATAATGGGTAGGGAGACACAAAAGTGTGGGTAAGAAAGATAAAAGGAGAAGAAAACAAGGCAAAGAAGGGGTTGAAAATATTAAGAAGTAAATTAGTCCTTGGTTCTAAATTGAATTACCAAGGAAGGTTTAAGGTGATAACTCCCCCCTTGCACTATCAAGAAGCTAGATGATCTTGTTAATCTTAAGTGCAAACTTATTTCGGAACGTGAAAGAGTGGAATTTTATAAATCATGCATTTCTAATCTCACCTTTCCAAGACAGTTTTACAAAATTTTGAAATCAAATAAATTGCAACCAAGTAATTCCATCTTCTTCGCCTTGCCAAATCGCATATTGAAAAAGCAGAGGAAAAGCTGCAACAATTACTGCTGATTCATACATCTGCTTCTTCTGTTTTGTCGGAATTATCTTTAATATGTCACATGAAATTCATTGCCTTCTGTGCATTCCTCGTTGGTAAAACAAGAGCAAACATGTGCAAGAAGCTGGACAAATCACTTAATGACAACAAACTTGTAACTCCTTTCCCTATTAATCCAGAGAAATACATTATCAACCTATCTTCTATAACACTTTCATCACTACAGGAACAAGCCTTATCACTGGGACCTAAGTTTTGCGTTCCACAAAAGTATTTCTCAGAACTCGAAGTTCACGCACAATTTGAAAATCTATGTGACCAGTTGAAGCCTCTTACTCCCGCTTCTGAAAACCATCACAGTTGGTTCAAAGCAAAGTTAGTTGACATTGCTCACCAATTTTGCAATAGTCGTACATCTCAGAAAAGTATCCTAACATCTGAGCACTTTAAAGCTCTAAAAGAACTCAAGCATAATACTGACATCGTTATCCTCAGATAAGATAAAGGTTCTGGTGTAGTCATAATGGACAAAATTGAATACAAAAGTAAAATGTTATGCATTCTTGGAAATAATGATAAATTTATGAGAAACTCCAGTTTGGAGGATGTGAATGATGTATAAAATATGGTGACAAATAATCCAGTAAAACTCTTAAATATGAATGCGATTAACAGAGAGAAGTTCAATTCACTAAATCCCATACAGTCCGAATTACCACACATGTATGGTCTCCCCAAAATACATAAACCTAACATTCCTCTACGTCCAATAATGTCAATGTGCAGATCCCCAACCCACAAACTTGCACAGTGGCTAGTGGAAATATTAGAGCCAATTAGAAGAAGCTTCTGTAAGTTCTCATTGAAAGACACTTTTGAGTTAATTGATTGTCTTGATAACATTGATATAAAGGACAAACGATGTTTTCCCTAGATGTTGAATTTTTATTTACGAATGTACCTCTTTTACAGACTGTGGACATTTTATGCGATTACATCTCTGACAATGATTTCCTATTGCCAGTATCCATTTCCTACCTAAAAAAGTTACGACTTCTTTGTACTAAGAATGTTAAGTTTACATTCGAGGGCGGGCATTATCGCCAGATCGATGGTGTTGCCATGGGAAGCCCCTTAGGTCCATTGTTAGCTGATATATATATGTCGTATGCTGAGAACCTAGTGGATAAAGAAATTGGAAAAGTTTATTTTTATAAAAGATATGTAGATGACATAATAGTCATTTGTGATAAACCGACAGACGCCGTAGAAATCCTGAACCAGATCAATAGAGCACAAAACAGCATATCACTAACATATGTTAAAGAGAATAATGGATGCCTGCCATTTTTAGATGTACTAATAACCCGCCGAGAAGATGGGTCAGTAAAACGATCTGTCTACAGAAAAACCACATGGACGAGACAGTACCTAAATTATCATAGTTTCTGTCCACTACAGTATAAGAAGGCGTTGGTTAAATGTTTGTTTAAGCGCATTCACCGTATATGTACTGCCAATACAACTGAAGAAGAAAGACAAAACCTCACTGAAATATTGTTAGACAACAATTACCCACTGAGATTTATTAGACGTTACGGAAGTGTCAACCATAGAGCTTTACCAATCCAATCAGCTCCCAAAAAGGATGTTTACATATCCTTACCGTTCAGAGGTGATCAACAAAGTTTAGTCACTAGACAAAGACTAAAGGCCGCAATCAATAGAACCTATTAAGCAGCTAAACTTATCTTCATAGAGAAAACGAGGACTATGCTGTTCTGTAAACCCTCACATCATCCGAACGATAGTGTCACATCCCAATGTGTTTATCAATTTACATGTATGTGTGGAGACACGTATATAG